ACCTGCCGTGATGTGCCAGCTGTGGGTGTAGCAGCTTCCTGCGGAGGGGCGGAGAGGACGTCTGAATGTGGCTGCATGCTAGGCTGGTGCATCTGCGTCTCCTGTGATTCAGAGTTCAGTCATATAGTTCTCAACCTGGTCTAACAAGACACTCCTGGCTGGCACATGAAGTCATGGTGCCAGCTTCCCCTTCCCTTCCCCCTTCCCATCCTAGATTTCAACAGGTTTTTTGGTACAAAAGAGACTTGGTTGTACCCACCTGCCAGCTAACTTTATTTTTTTTTGATTGTGCTGTAAAAAGAAGCGTTCCTTCTGCTTATCACATTTGTACTTTGGTTATAGTGTCAGGCTTGGGCAGATTAATTGGTTGTAGCTTTAGCAGAGCTGTCAGAGTATTTAACCCATTGGAGAAAAATTACCTAAGCTGATGATAAACAGGCTTTAAACACAGAGCAATTACTTAGTGTTAACAAAGCACCATGACTGCACACTTTGTCTAAATGCAAAAAGCAAAGTCTTATCAGTGGTTCAGTTTGCAGGAGGACACTAAAAGATAACCTTTGTTTGTGCAAATACTTACCCGATAAGATCATCCGAAAGGGAAGGGATGAAATTTCTGGTTCTATCTTGAGTGAAGGTTAAGCTTCAGATTACAAAATATCAAACAAAAAAAGAATAATAATCACAAACGGAGAATGCTCAATTCTTTCTTGTAGTTGGACCGATAGTCTCCAATGGAGGGTTTTTTCCTGCTTGCATTGATTGCTTTTATTTCTAGCATATAACAATAAAGCAATTTTAGAGACCTTTAGCCAATAGGACTTTGGATTTCATTGTTCACAGGAACTGGCAAAGCTAGAGGGCTGGTTAGTGTTGAACTTGGTTTGTTCATTGCAAGTTTAACCCTGACTGGTAGCCAGCAGCACAGCAATGCTGTGACTCACAACTGTTCTGTTCTGCGTTCATGGTGAAACTGGTCCGGGTGTTTCCAAACTGTGAGAGCTTAGGAGGTGCTTTTAGTGGGACGTGCACTCAATACCATTTGCCTCTCAAGGGTCACAGGTCACATTCTGAAGCAGCAGAGGTTTGAGTTTTTATTGTGATGAGTCTTAGCATCTTGCGTTTGACCTCTGTCTAGCTCGCTCCAGTTTTTTTTCTGTGTTAAGATTTGACTGAAAGGACACTGTTTGTTGAATGCTTTTAATAGACCAACTTTAAAAAAATCAGTTTGTTATAGCACATTGATCAAAAGATTTACAAAACTGACATTTTATTTTGCTTTCAAATAACTTATCAGAAGTTTCCTATTGGGTGTTTGTAAAGGATCTTTATATGAAGGGAAAAATAAAATGCAAGCACTCTTTGGTCATTTTTAATCAAGGCTTTATATTAACCCAAGCATGCTCAAAGCTCCGTCTCACGCAGAAAGTAAATACGTATTGTCTAATCAAATGTTTCTAAGCATAGTTATATTAGCCTGCTCTGTGGTCTGTGCCAGACTTTTAGACATGAATGTGATTTTAAGTTGATTTGGATGCCATGTCATACTTTGTTCGGATGTTAATGCCCCATCTCGCCTGCTGTATGCTACTGACTTTGGTGTTCTTTGGCCACTTTTGGTTGCGGTTGACAGAGGAGATGGCTAAGACATGATGTTCCTACTAGTTACATGGAAAGAAGGGTATGGGTCAAAAGCAAGAGCCTCTGAATTAGTCCTGTGTGCCCCATACTGAAAAAGACTTTATATAAGCCATCACCTCTTTAGGCTCCGAGAACCTGCAGACAAGCAAGCCACTGGAAAATGGCTGTCATTGATTTTCTTGCTCACTGGACTACTTGGTCTGTGTCTTCCTGCTCGAAGTGATTTGCTTGCATTTTGTGATGAGTTTTTTGAAAATGTGTTTGGAGTTTGATATTCTGGTGCCTCTTATGCTCTTGTTCCCTCATCCACTAGAGGCTGACAAAGCTGGCAATAAACAGACACATTTTTGGGAGGTGGCTTCGCAAGCCACGTTCCGGGAGCTGTTGAGTTTTATTTTTTCTTTCCAAATGGGACTGATAGAAGTTTTATGGAGAAGATCTTAATTGCAGACCTGCAGCACAGCAAGATATTTTTTCAGAACAGCTGCTCAGCTCACCACAGGTGTGGTGAGGCCATATCGTTTATATTTTAAATGATCAGGAACTGAGCTGCCTACTTTTAGGCAATTTCAGTGGTTTCCCACTCATGGAGCTGCATTCTCTCCACCTTTGGTGATGTGAGCAGGTGGTCAGGGAGTGTTTTGCAGGTCCACATGTGTTGGGAACCATACAGGAACTGGTCCGATTGCTTCGTAAGAAATTTTGTAGACGATGTTGTACATGTGAGCTCTAGCTGCTCAGCTGTTTTTCTGTGGCCCACCACAACTAAATTGTGTTTTTTTTCAAGTCGATAGAAGGACTGAAAATCTGAAGCTGGACCAGTTTTCCTTACTGAGGGTTTTTTAATGCCTCAGTTTCCATGGCAATGGAAATAAGCACTCCTCTCACCTGAGTGCTGGGTATGTGCGTGTGTATATGTGTCTTGCATAAGACTGGAAGGGCAGTGCCTACTTCTTTTCCTGGAAATAGATTTGGAAGGGAGGAGGACTGTTGGATGCTGGCTCTGCAGAGCTGCTGCTGCAAGCTAACATATCTCGGGAAGGGGGACAGGTACAGGGAGAGGATGACTGTCACCAGGGCCTGTGCTGGCTGAGACTCCCCAGTCAAAGGAAGTCCATTGATCATGAGTTTGCTTTTCATCTGCACACTTTTTGTTAGGAGTTAGAACTTGCAGGAAATAAAATGCAGTCCTTGAAGGCAGGGGAACGTGATGTTAGTCATTGATATTAGTCGTTGACAGTTTCTGCCTTATGGGCTGTTCAGGCTATTTCCTGAAAAAGGAAATCTTTCATTAGCTAATTATTTTCCTTAGCAGTGTTGTAAGGGCATCAGCAAATAATACAGTTCCTGGCAAAGCTGCCGCGCTGTTTAGTGCCTGCCTGTGTGATCAAGGGAGAATGATAGGGAAATTTTAATGAAAGGAGTTCTGTCAGAGCTGAAAAATACTAATGGCTTCAAAATGCTGTTCAGAGTTGACTCCTTAGCAATCACTTTTCATAAATCTTCTATGTGCAAATGAGGAATCCCAATGTCATATGTTGATTGTTTTCTAATGATCTTTGACATTGTGCCAAATGTATTATGAAGGTGTGATGCAGCAGAGCCACTGAAACATATTCATCTCTAATAGGAGCAATGGTATAGTGTACAGAACTGAAAGGGGAAATGCAGTATCCCAGTGAGACAGCAGCTGAGAGTTAGGTGGTTAGATCAGATGTGCTTGGTGACTCAGGAGGAGCAAGGGCACAGTTCTGCTCCAGAAGAGTGCCGCAAGATTGACAGTGCCCAGCTGTCAGTGCCTTGCTTGCAGGACTCTTCTCTTCCCACCACAATAAAGATTAGATTTTTTTTCAAAAGCAAGGAAGGAGTATGAGACTTTGTACCATTCAGCTGAACAGCAGGGAAAAGTCCTAGTCCCTCCAAGACAGCTTTGAAAGCATCGGTTTAAGGTAGTTGTTTAAAACAGCTAATGGAGTAGAATGAGCCGAGGTGCATCTGTTATTTCTTAGACTCAGCGTTCTGTCAAAGACTGCAGTTGGTACTGTTATCCCTGCTGATCTGTGTTTTATCTAATTATGTTGTCACAGGTTCTAAAATCTCTTCTTTGAGTTCCTGTGTACTTTCTCATTAGTCCCATGTCATGATCATGTAAGTTCAATATCCTTTCACTATCCTTGGTTTTCTGAACATGTCCAGTGGTCCTTCTGTTCACTGCCATTCAGTTCTACCATTACAAACCAGTGTTTGCCAGAGCTTTGTTCATGCATTTAGTAACATCAATAATTTTGTTTCTGTATTGCCACGAAACTACATGATTGTAATGTAGGAGCTGAGTTTACAATTTCTTCTCTAAGCAACATGTAGTATAAAATAGTTGCACCTGTTGAGATATTTAGTTGCTTTTTTTGCAACAGTGATGTGATTTTTTCACTCCCCGTGATACTTCAGCATGGCGTTATGTTTGTTCTGTGTGGGTGGAAAATAAAGCTGGCCAACTGGTTGTTTCTCTGTGTGCGCACACAAAGATAGACGTTTTAATTAGAAGTACTTTTTCTCTTCCTGACATTTTTATGACAGGTACATAGGTTTTCATAAACTTTTCTTGCTAATATCCACTTACCTTTACAAGGTCCGTTTTTCTCTGTAATGTTACTTTTACACAGTTTTTCATTTTACTGCAAGTCACTCTAATTAGGACATGTCTGTTCAGGTTTCTGTGATTTAGCTTTACTGAACAGGTCTGTCAGTGGATAATCAATGGTCTTGCCTGAAACCTTGGTTTATGTAAGGAAAATACGCCTTTCTCAAATAAGTCATTATAAAATCTATACCAATACATAACATTTCTGTGTGCAAAAGGGAATTGATATCAATCAACTTAATGTTGGAAGAACAGTATCTGCATGACATTTTAACCAATATAGTTATTTCAGTTACAAAACCATAAATCACATCTGAAACTAACTGTAACAGCTTTCTAGCAGACCAGGAATCTTGCATTTAAACCCATAAGAAATACTTTTAATGTGTAGTTTGAGTTATTTGTGTTTATTACTCGGTTAATTATTTAAAGAAACAGCGTCTGTGCTCAGGATGAGCTTTCAACAGCTGTAAATGTCAAGGTACATGCTTACCTGGCAGTTGGAGATGACATTGGCACAGAATTCGTTCTTACTGTGGAATTGTTGTGCCCATGAGGAAAGCTGTAAAAGTAGCTGGTGCTTACAGGGTGATGTAATAACAGTTTCTGACAAGCTCCCTTGCTGGCATCATTGTTCTGCAGTCTTTTGGTGGGGAGAGGAAATCTTTGAGTTTCCCAGTCAAAAAGGCGTGACACACATCCATTTTTCTTTTTCCAGGATCTTTCCCAGAGAGTATCTCCTCCAGCAAATCCATCTTTATTCTCTCGCAGACCTTCAGCAGGTAAGTTTCTTCAACTGATTCTACCTGTTACACATCAAGCCTATTCTCATCTTCAGTGCTAATTGTACATTCCCTCTTCTAGTTAATCATAGCATAAATAGCTTTACTTCCAAGCCATCTATCGTTTATAGTTTACTGTAAAAATGGGTTAACAGGGGCATTGGTTAGGGATGAGAGAGAGAAAGCCGAGAGCGTCAGTGTTGAAATGGGGCTGGAAAGAGACTGCAAAAGACAACTGTAGTCTGCAAGGAGAACTTTACTGTGAGAAAGTTTTCATCTGATCAATGAAGGCTCGTCTAAGACTCAGCGTAGAGGTGACAAGTAGTATTTATTTCTTTGCTTGAAAGAATAGTTACTCAGGAATTTATGCGTTTTTGCAGTCCCTAGTGCAACATGCTTATTTACAAAGTCTGCTACACATTACCACAAGAGGAGGAAAAATAAAAATAAAAAACCCCCCACAAAAACCTCAGCAAGCCTGCTACACAAAGTTAAACCATGCAGTGTCACTATGACAGATGTGACAATGTAAGCTGTAAACGTAGTGTGCCAGCAGAACATGTCTTTGCATTGATATTAATTGAACTAAGCAAGCACCTTGTAGTACATCTGCCTGAACAGCAGAATTTTATCATGTACCAGATTAAACAACACTAATTTGGCAAAAAATGCTGAAAAGAGAGGACTGAGAATCTAAGGTGAATGTGCTGCAGCACTGAGATGCACAGTGGAGGAAGCAATGAGGCAAGATGCTCTAGCTGACCTGGGCACATCTGTGTTCACACTCTAATGCCATTGCCAGTGATATGTAAAGCACATTATTTTAAGCTTCTTCCACTCATGTTTCCCTTGTCTAGTGGTGCCTTCTCTGCAGGATAACGGGTAGCATAGTCAGTTGTGGATGTTCAGTTGACACATGTAAGTTGAGGTAGATCAGATGCCCCTCAGAGCTGGAAACTACAGAACTGAAGAAAACATGGCTGTTGTTGGCTGGTGCAGTCACAGGGTAGAAACGATTCCATATATAAAATCAAAAGGCCAGTCATATGACGTGTAAAACAGTTTCCACAGCTTTTCAGCATGTTCTACTATCTCATCTTTAATAATCAAGCCATGAGAAAGCAAGCTACTTAACTCCAGAGCTGCAGTCTCCCTGGTGGGCCTGTCTATTAGCCCCCAGTGCTTTGTAAGCTGCTTAATCAGTTCCTGATGTTGGTAGTAGATGTTTTAGAAGCAATCAGCAGCTTATCAAGCACCCTGTGGGAGGGAGGGAGGATAGAAGTCACAATTCAGCCATTGATTTAGCAGTTCCCTTTAGCATGTTTCTTTGTGTATGCAAGACACCTTCTCTTCCCTTGAGGGCCCCAGCCCCAAACTGATCATATTTAGAGGCAATGTAATTTGATTACCATTTCTGCTGGTGTGGGTTAAATTGCATTTACCTTTTAATCTAGCTGTATCCTTGTTGTCAGCCCGGAGAGGGTTTTCCACCTTTTGGAGGCTCCAAGTTTGAAATCAGAATGCCTGTTTTTGTCAAAGTGGAACCAGAGTGGAAAGAGGAGGAGTGTCCCATTGAGAAAATGAATCCAACAGCTGGAGAAACACTAATATCCTTACAGCCCCTGCCTCCTCCTTAGTTTGCCCTTTACCACTGCTGTCTGCCAATTGCTCATCATTTTCTAGTGACCTGCAGTCTGGGTGTTTTTTAATCCTAAAAGTTTTCCCTCCTTTTGATTCCTCTGCTGCATATTTCCTCATATCCATGGACTGCTTTTACACTGTATCCTGCTGTCATGTAGACTGTGTGTGTTTGGAGAATTAACTAAAAGGTTTATTAAAGATTAATGGAAAGATAAGGCATGGTGAGTGAATTAGAAAAGCAGAGAGGGGTAATCTGCAGATATAAGCAACCTTTACCCTGGTTAGTCCCAGCGCAATTCTGATTTGTTTCCTAGCCAAGTTCTCTTTAAAGATCCTAGAAAACATGGGTCGTTTCCTACCAAGCAGCTGAGTTTCAAAAATGTAGTATTGAGGGTCTGTTCTTAGGTGCAAAAAGGTTGAAATGCCAGTTTGCCAGCAGGTGAAGGAGCATATAATACTATTCTAAAATGAAATCCAATTTAAATCTGTTTCCAAGCTTAACAGAGCTCTATGCCTAGACTTTATGGATGTGGCAGAGTACATACTTGAGGTATCTGATAGTCTGGGGGTGGTTGTCACTTGGATCCATTTGGACAGGGCTATGCTGGGGAAGACCTTAACCATGAGGTTAAAAGAAGGGTGGAAAAAATTGAAACAAGATGCCCTTAATTTTGGAAATTCACCAAATTCTGGTGGGGTAGTGGTTTTGCTAGTACTTTACTCATTAACAAGTGCTTGTAGTGCAGATGTGAGCAGGGCTGACCTTTAACCAGAGGCGGGAAGTGATGGTCTTTGTTTGTGTGTGCATGTTTACGTAAAATAAACACAAGCGCACACTTGTACCCCAGCAAGGTTTCACTGCAGACCATCGCCCCAGGGACTACATCAAAGTTTACAGCAAGTCTGTCTATGGGCATTCCCACAGGGTACATAGAATCCTCCTGTCATTGTTGTCATCTGAGGTGTTAGCAGGCAAGATAACTAACTGGGTGCATTTAGATCTAAGAAGCAGAAACACAAAGTGTGACAGCTTGCCTGTTCTGCCCCCATTGGCTACACTTGCTTTCCTTTCCAGCCCTCCCTGGCATCATCTGTGTAGAGAGTAACCTGCTCTGCATCACCCGTAACACGGCTGCATCTCTGTTAGCCAGTTTATCCAGGGCTATTCCAACCAATTAAATCTTTAAAGAGGGAGACTTCCAGTTGTTAGGAAGCAAACAAATTGCTCTTGGAAATTGAAATTGCTGCTTTTAGCAGACATAGTACACTGGAAAAATTAATTACTCTTATTTATATGCAGTATAGTCCCTGATCATGCAGTCACAGTCCATGGTAGCTTCACCCTCAACCTGCTGGAGGTGTGAACTCTGTTCACTGCTGACATTACTAATGTACATGTCACTAGTTTTGTGGACATGTGGGCACAGTTCGTGCAAGCTGGGGTTAAAAACTATCAATTCATTTTGTGTGACTATGGGGCTGCTTTTGGTGACACTAACAGTTTTTACACTGTGAAACATTGATTTGACAGAAGCTGACTCAGGCAAGACTCTTGCATTTCTTAGGAAAAGTAATTCTTGCTACTTACACTAGATTCCATATTAACGGGAGCTTTTAAAGTAGAAGACTTGAAGTGGCTGTTGTGACAAGTTCGAAATTCAGGTGTTTAATCCACACGGAGAGTTAACCTAAGTCTTACCTGGTTTTTATGTTAAATAGCAAGATATACAAGTGTACAAAGATTATTGCAGTGCTGGTGGTTACTGTAGAAACACTCTTAATCATGGCAATTATTTCATCCTGGTTGTACTACCCCCAAAATATATGGTAAAATAAAAAGGATCCATGTAACAGTAAAAATGGATGTCAACGATGGAAATGATGAGCGAGCTAGGAGATTTAAAAAGATGGTGATTTGGAGACTTATTTACACAGAAACACTCAGAAAAAGAAATTGGAGTGACAAAATATGAGAATTTAAAATGATGAGTTGAATTACATTGAATCACTGTGTAAATACTGTTATTCAAAATATAAGTGGCTTTTATTTGGTTTATTTCCATTTACTTTGGAAGTAAAGTGTGCTAAATTATATTAAGGCCATTTTCATTGTGAATGTGTATGTCCATACAGGGATTTAATGTAGTATAATTTATCCATTGTAAGATTGTAGATAAACTAATCTGTTAAAATTTAATTAAAATATCCATTTACTTCAGATCAACTTTCCTGACTTTCTAGCTGTAGATGAACCTACAAACAATGTGAATTACGGTGGAGAGAAAGGACAAACAGGAGAGCCCTATTCTCACAGTAATATAGCAAAGGTCATACAGCGAATATGAGATACTCATAAAAATCCTTAGTGGAACTGCTTCTTTGCAGAACACAGAGCATGAGGAACTTAATGCCACAGTAATATTAGTGAGGCCAAAAGTTTATAGTCTTTGAGAGGATTAAGTATCCATAATGAGAATGTCCACAGTTCCAGTACGTAAAATAAAGAGATTATAAGGTTTCAGAATAGACATATTATTTACTGAGGGGATTAGGAAGATGTCTTCCCTATTGACAGACGGATCAATGATTTCATCTTCCTCTGACGTATATAGTGCTGATTAGCACCTGATAAGGTCTTGGACTAGGTGAACAGCTGGTCAAACAGAAGCATTCCCAATATGAAAATCTTGATGTTTCTGTTCAAGATTTTGTGCATATAAGGTTCCCTGACCAAAATGTGAGAAATAAAAATGAACTTCAATGAAACACAGGTTCCACCTAATTTGGGCCTAGCATATTGTTAGATCAGGATTAGAAAGCCTGAGAAGAGCAAAGAAGTTGTTAGGTCTTGTTCACTTTTCCAGGCTTTGAACCTATACTGTGCTTTCATCACGCCTCCTTTTCCAATGGCAAATGTGGGTCCTCCCTGTATTTTCCTAGAAGGAGATGGAGGATGAGATTGGAGATGCTCTTTTTAGCGTTTTTGCATGTGCGAAACTTTAGGTTGATTTAGACAAGTAGTTTCACGAGTCCCAACAATAGCAAAGACTGCAAGGAGGCATGGACTTTTTTTTGCTCTTTACCTGCTGTTTTTTTCAGAAGAAAAACTTATTTTCTGATCACTCAGTCCTCCTAAAATTGCTGAGAAATGCTCAACTTGGATTTATAACATACAGCCTGATGACTTCCAGGCCCGTCAGTGGTGGTGTCCTCGCCCAGCAGTTTCTTTTTATTCAGGAGTAAATAGGATGGGATGGGGCATCTAACCCACATGCCTGTGCTGGTGAAAGCCAGTAGTATGTATGTAGCTGTGTTGATTGACAAAACTGGGTTTTGGCTGACATACTTTGGGCGTGCTC